AATGAATTGGTCGGAATGGGATTCGGGATGATATTTTGACATTGAGTAAAAGAGAAAAGGGTACGATTTTATAATTTAATAGAGACGTTTGTATACTTGTTTATTGCAGTTTGCACAAAGCCCACTCGAGTGCTACATACTCTAGCCATCTATAGTTTTAAAGTAATATAGAAGGAAGAAGGCTTGTCAACACCACACACCGCCAATTCTTGGACTATTCTTTACCAGCGAATAGTGAGATTGACCATCACATTATAACAACCCCACGGCTGGAAGTGCGAACATGTTCAGTGAAGGGTTTAGATCCCGCGTCCACAGCTTGTAAATCGAGTGCCCAAATAATCAGGCTATGCCAGATCCAATAGAGAAGTAGATAGAATATAGTGTAGAGTATCCTATCTGTAATTAACTAAAGGTGACATGCGGTACTGCGTTGGGTTGATTATACAAAGTATTGAATTGATATATCAGTGATAAAGGATGGACAGGTGATGGGAAGTAGTAAGTGGGTAGATAAAATATCAGGTGCTGTTGATTATTGTGTTGAAGAGTATAACTAGGAGATGAAAGATGTAAATGATTGGTAGATTACAGAATGACATATAATAGAATACTGGGTGGCAAAATATAAGTCATTTGGTAGATTGAAATATATAATTATCTGTAATTGATGAATAAATCGTAAGAGGTGTAATGATTTTATAATTGAATGTTTTGTGGAGTGGTGTGGCAAGAAATAGACGATAAGATGACATGGCAGGTAATCAGTTGGTCAGTAGAGAGATTGGTAACTAATATGAAGCGGCAGATGTGTAGGATGTTGGAAGAGGAGCATCTGTTTATGTTGGCACATCACATGTTATAGACGTTCAAATAACTGTTAGAAACATATAAATGAGTCAGATGAAGGCAGAATGGTGTTCGTGTGCCAGTATAAACATACGTGCGGAGTTTTAATACCTGTAACAAGAAAAGCTTACTTCCAAATAACTACCTGTGTTACTCCATATGTACCTCCCTTGTGTTACTTCATCTATGTACCTACTTGTGTTACTTCATCTGTGTATCTACTTGTGTTACTTTGCCTGTACCTATCTACTTCTGGAACTTCATCTGTGTACCTACTTCTGTTACTTTATCTCTGTACCTATTTATGTTACTTTATCTGTGTACCTAGTCGTGTTACTTTATGTGTGTATGGTATCATGAAAGGATTACTAGCCTTCTTTACTTGCCTACCTACTTGTGTTACTTCACCTGTGTACCAACCTACTTGCATTACTTCATCTGTGTACCTAGTTGTGTTACTTCATCTGTGTACCAACCTACTTGTGTTACTTCATCTATGTACCAACCTACTTGCGTTACTTCATCTGTGTACCAACCTACTTGCGTTACTTCATCTATGTACCAACCTACTTGCGTTACTTCATCTGTGTACCAACCTACTTGTTTTACTTTATCTGTGTACCAACCTACTTGTTTTACTTTATCTGTGTACCTACTTATGTTACTTTATCTGTGTACCTAGTTGTGTTACTTTATCTTTGTACCTAGTTGTGTTACTTTATCTTTGTACCTACTTGTGTTACTTTATCTTTGTACCTACTTGTGTTACTTCATCTGTGTACCAACCTACTTGTGTTACTTCATCTGTGTACCAACCTACTTGTGTTACTTCATCTGTGTACCAACCTACTTGCGTTACTTTATCTGTGTACCAACCTACTTGCGTTACTTCATCTATGTACCAACCTACTTGCGTTACTTCATCTATGTACCAACCTACTTGCGTTACTTCATCTGTGTACCAACCTACTTGTGTTACTTCATCTGCGTACCAACCTACTTGTTTTACTTTATCTGTGTACCTACTTATGTTACTTCATATGTGTACCTACTTATGTTACTTTATCTGTGTACCTACTTATGTTACTTCATATGTGTATCAAGATAAAGTAACACAACTAGGTACAAAGATAAAGTAACACAACTAGCTTTGTTTACGGCAAATACATAAATAAAAACCTGCACGCCTTATTGAACTTCGTGTTTATAGGAAAATATAAAAAATATACATTAACTTTCACCTTCTTCCCATTATTTTGACACAGTTTCTTTAATATAATAAGAATTCCATTAGGTTAATTCTTGAGGACGGGTCTGCCCAGTGTGAATTTTTTTATCAGTTAAGCACAACTTAATTATTTCTACAAAAGTGTTCTTGAAATCATATTACAATTACAAACAAACACTTTTATAATTATCATTGAAGTTTTTCAAATATAAATAAGGCAGATAGGACGGTTATTTCTTTTTAAAAAAATTACATTGTGAGACGTCTTGGTAAAAACCTCTGAAATTTTATTACCAAGAAAATACTGAAAGTTTAAAGTATATAAGGCACAAATTTCACTCTATTATGTTTCCTTCTTTTCCTCATATTTCAACCAGTCCACACATTTAAGTTATTACGAGTTTAATACGAAATTTAATACGAAAATGTCATGTATAATTTTAATATTGCCAAATATTGCCTTAATAATTACATCAATTAAAAAAGAACTTTAAAGTATATTATTATCCAAAGTAACAAACCGAATGTTATACTACTCGGTATACGTATATAACTTCGTAGAAGTTATGAGTCATATTTAAAAATGAGTTATCTCAATAACGTCAATGTGAAAATTCTAAATAGTGGTGTTATATAGTAAATATTACACTGTATGGCTGTCATTCAACAATAAGTGGCTTAAATACGCTAGCAAAATATTCCTGTACTCCTGTTCATCTCTGACCGTCATGCAGTTAAATCTCGAAGTAACTTTGGCCTGAATAACAATGCCTTGTTTTAGCATACATCTTACGAGTATTATCCAGTGCTAATAGAGCACTCTTGTGGATAATTCTCTTTATACTTGATACATGGATAAATGACCGTGAAAGAAAGCTGAACCTCAGTTATAGCCACAAACACAAAATTTCCTTAGTTAATAACAAAACACAACTTTATATCGCTTTAAGCTAAGAAAAACATTTTCTCGACGTATTTACAGAGCGAGTTTTACCTCAAACGCAGTGACAGGATTTTAGAGAATTACATCTCAAGACTCAGACTCCTCCACTTTCTATTGATCATTAACTGTGTTTCTCGGTATTGTTCATTCTTCCTCTATCTCTGTTCTTCAGTGTACACTCGTATTTTTCAATTAATGTTTTGCTATCCTACTTTATTAATTCATCTTCTTTACTTTCTTTATTTCTTGCTCTTTTTATATCCATTCATCCATTCTCTTGATCTTCAGTCTTATTTTTTAACCTCTTCTATCATTTATTTACTTCTTTCAAATACTTTTTCTTCCCCTAAACCTGACTTCGGTTCTGATAGTCCTAGCATCATCATTACATTTCTGTGTATGACGATCTAAAATGTTCTAAATTAACATACCTTTGAGACAAATATACAGAAGCTCACGTGGTCGTCTTAATAGCTCTGTTTCTTTAGTAAATAAATTTAACTTGCTTATTACTGAAGAATCAGTTAATCGTCATGTAACATGAAAAAAAAGTCATGGGACAATTCCCTGAGTAGAATATTAAACCTACAAAATATAATAGAAATGTTAAAAGAATTGTCATGGATATCTTATATAAATTCTCATGTGTACTTTATACATACTGTCATGGATAATTCTTTTTAGAAATTACCGTGGCTACAGAAATTACTATGGAAATTATAAGCCTACACACGGATCACGAGGAAAGCTTTCCGTTGCCACATACACTCCAGTGCACGTTCTGGTTAGTAGGCCGATTTTTCCTGGTGTTGACAAGATAAATGCCAATGTTAGAAAAATCACATACATAATTGTTAATTTTCTTCAAATTAACCTCTGAAGGTTGCATCCTAGATTTGATTGAGATAAATGGTTGCGAGCTATACGTACGTACATTAAATCTATATATACTATCAACGGTATAGCATATGCTATAGTTACTACACAAATAAAACCTAGCATACATTACTCTAGTCACTATGCACGAGATTTTTTTTTTGACTTATTACAAACAAAGCAGAAAAAAAAAGACCGGTCACAAAAATAAATTCACATAAAAATAATCAGAAATCAATTTTTCATAAAATTGTAGTTTTTGTTTCTATGTTTTCTTGCCCAAAGGCGCACAAAGCGCTCTCTGCGCATAGCCGTCCCTAATTTTAAACTGATAGACTAGAGGGAAGGCAGCATCCACCGCCGATTTTCGGGTTATTCTAGTCTGAACGAATAGTGAAGTTTGATCTCTACTCTTTTAACGCACCTACGAACCCAAAATTCGGAGGGCGTTTTGCACCAACGGAATACAAACCATGAACCTTCGGATTCACTTTCCGTGCAAGCTAACCACTTGACCATATATGGTAAAGTCCTATATATCAGAAGTAGCTCACTCTTCTTATTTCAAATAACTTCAATATAATGTAAACTTGGCAATCCCCAATATTTATGTGCGTATGTGACCAGTCCATTTTTGACATACTTTTGTTTAAAACAGTTTATGGAATTTACACGATCTATTTTGTATGCTGAATAATTCATATTTGATTTTTTCTATAGAAACAGCATATCTAAATTTCCTACTAAAAAATTTATAAAACTTTCCTTGTGATATATTTTCATATATTCTTTCATCGCAAATGGATTTTTTTTCTAGTTTTATACGCAAGTTTCTTTACCATATTTTTGACTAGATCGTATTTGCGCTGAAGTGTCACCTAAACGTTTCTCTACCATAGTAACAATATCAAATAAGAAGATTATGTAGCATTCCATACCGAATGCATTAACAAATGTTAAAGAGCGTCACATTAAAAGTATTTAATTCCTCTTAAAATATTTTGATCGGATCAATTCTAGAAATGGCCTGACTAGACTCTATGGCTATTTCTGAGCATAGAAGAATAACGATTGAGCAACGTCACTTTACGATGAGCAGTGTAATTATGTTGTTGTTTCTCTGTTTCTGTCATTATCCTCTTGATATTCGAATTCATCTCTACTACTTCTCGAATCATTATTGTCAATGTTTTGAGCTTGGGAGGGTATCTTTAAACGTAGAGTCACTGAGCCATTCAGCTTACTGGATATTTTGTTCTGTTTCTGCGAGACAATCTCGCCATCATCTGTGCTCAAGCGAGGCGAACTTCTTCCGTCATCGTTTTCTAATTCGCATGCTGTTAAAACTGAGCTCTTTGATGATGAAGTTGTTGTGGATAAAGGAGAATCACCTCCAGAATCTAGCCTTGTTTTCTTCACTGAACTTTCCGTACACAGACTGTCTCTTCCTGGCGATAGTTCCAGCTGAGAAGTCGAGTTATTATGCGTTGGAGATGATGAAATCGCCTGCCTGCTCATCTGATTTACCATACTAAAAGTAGATTGTAATGTCGCCACATTCCTTGCTTCTTCAGAAGTGTTTTCCTTTACTTTCCCGATCAAATTACGAATATCTGCAAAACATTTCTCATTCTTGTGCTGCACGCTATGAGTTTTTGGAAAATCATCCAGGATTGTTGGACCATCTGATTCGTGCTTCTTAAGATGGCGATCCAAATTAGTCTGCTGCCCAAAACAACGGTCACATAGCGAACACTTGAAGGGCTTTTCTTTATTATGAATGTTACGGACGTGACGTTGAAGGTTCGAAGAAATGCTGAAAGATCGCTCACAGTAATTGCACTTGTACGGCTGTTCTCCAGTATGAGTACGAAGATGGCGAGTTAGGTTTGCAGATCGAGGAAACAGCTTTCCACAGAACTTACAGGTATAACGATCTTTACCTTTGCTGGGTTGGGGCTGCAGCAGATCTGGAATGGGATTTCCCAGGTTATCCATGTGTGCTCTAACAAATTCGATCGACGAAGGGTTATTAAACAGCGATCCAAGAAAAGGATAGCGTGGTAGAAAGGAAGAAATCATATTGTTTGGTACGTCTTTGAAGAGTGCATTCTGATGCTGGGTTTGGTACGTAGGATGAAGGGGATGTTGATATGTTACATCTGATAGGGTTGACAGAGATTGAGGGTCAAGTGTTTCTTCCGAATGAAAGTTTCGAGGTTTGGGTCTGTCTACAGATACAAACAAGTGTGGCTTCTGGGCTTCACTAGGCCTGTCTAGAGATCCAAGTAAGTGTTTCTGCCAAGGCTCATTAGGCCTATTAACAGACCGAAATAAGTGTTCCTGCCAAGGTTCATTAGGCCTATCAACAGACCGAAATAAGTGTTTCTGCCAAGATTCATTAGGCCTATCAAAATACCGAAATAAGCGCGACTTATGAACTTCCCTAAGTTTATCTACAGATCCAAACAACTGCTTCTGCTGAGCTTCTCGCTCCACAATCATTAATTTCTTTTTGTAGGAAATGCGAAGATCAAGAGGCTCGTTAATCGCAGCGTCGTTCTTGAAGTTTGATCTGTATTCTAGACAGTTCTCGGCCGTCTGCTTGGCTTTGTTTTGCGAAAGATCGAAAGGCATGTCCATTCCGCTTAAAGGAGGCATTGGCAACATCATTGTATAGCCCTTAAAAATGGATAAAAGTAAGAAACTCGAACTAAATTGATGCTAGTGTAAAAACCCCGTCTCTGTTAGGAACCGATGAGTTTTCTAGAAATTGCGATTTCGTGTGTCAACTAAAACATGCCATCTATTCAATAGTCCGAAACGTCCAACAATCTGAAACGTTCACCGAATTCAACAGTGTCTGAAGAGCGTAAAGTTAAAAGAACGGATGATAGCATGAAACAACCACAAGACCGAATTATTGCAATAGATGCTGATATTTCACTTTAGAAAACTGTGCTCGTGTAATTTCCAGATTGTTTTTCTTTTCTCCAATTATTCTGAAATAAAAGAAGTAAAGAAATTAGGTAGGCAAAGCAAATCCTAACACAAACATTAACTTTCTACATGCCTTCTGTTATTTCAACAAAAGTAGTGTCGAGAAATAGATTGTTTTGAATGTTTGTGAAAGAAAAGAAAATACAAAATACCAAAAGATGCTTTCAGCCATCTCACGGCTGTTAATGTACGATACCTAAATTTAAAAATTCCTTGTCTTAGTTTTATTTTCAGAATGTAAACGTATATTGTTCGAGGGCGACAAAAATCCAAAACATTCAAAATGAAGCATTTTATATAACTTAATAGCTTGAGAAAATTAAATAACTTAATCTGTTCCGTGGTCTTTGACAATTCACAAAACAAAAATAACATAATATGCAATTTTACGTTTGTTTGTAGTTAAGCACAAAGCTACACAATGGACTATCTGTGCTCTGCCCACCAGGGGTATCGAAACCTGGTTTCAAGCGATGTAAGTTCGTAGACATACCGCTGTGCTACTGGGAGCCAATTTTATGTTGCAGTAACAATTATACATATATATCACTAAACTCAATATTTTAAATTAAAAACTGCAAAGAAACGAAAATATAAAATAGTTTAAAGAGGTTTTAAAATATTTTAGGAAAGCTGAAGACTAAAACGGAGATAAATCTCGTGTAGATGTGCAAGTTTTATCGTTACAATGTGTTGATAAAATGTCCTCACAACTGACAGATATTTGCGCATTGTTTGTAAAAGTTAAACAACATATAATGTAATATTTTATATAGGACTTCATTAGATGATCTCATTACTAAACCTTTTCGACAAAGAAAAAAGTAATTTGGTTCTAATTAACTAAATAGTTAAAAAAATATCAGTAAGTCTGCAGGCTTACGACGCTAAAAATCATGTTTTGATACTCAGGTTAGGCAAAGAGCAGATAGCCCAGTGTGTGGCTTTGTGCTTAATAGTAAAATAACAACCAATATGTCATGTTATACAAACATTTCAGAAACTTATTTCAACCAAATACCATAATAGGATGGTTGACTGCGAAAAGTTGTGAATTTTCATCGCGTTAACTGTATGTAGAAAACAGGGTCGTTTTTTTTTCAAACTATCGTGGATTTATTGCTTCTGACATTATAATAGGTACTGATCAATAAGCGAAGTTGTAACATGAAATTTGCCAATCACAATAAGTTTTACATTCATGTTAAAACTTCTGAGCAATACTTGTCTAAAAATGAAAGTTTTCTATTTTTGAAAACTGTGAACTCAATCAATGGAACATTTATTAAATATGATTCCAAAAAACAGAAATACAATCAAACTAACAAACAAGAATTAACGATCGCGTATAACTTTATATCTCTTTAATAAACAGTCATATTCGAATATATTGAGTTCCTGTATTCATATATAATTATATACTAGCACACTGCCTTATCACAACGACCCCAATAGTCCTACATAGAAATAGAAACTGTACCTGAAATATATTTCTTCTATTGATATGTAAATACCAGTTTTTAAGTAACTAGAAGAGAAGGTATACACCTCCATCCCCCCCCCCTAATAATACTCACAGCAAACACAAAATGAGATAAAAGTTTGAATGGGATACATAACCTATCAGCAATATACCATAGATGGGTACTTTACAATAGTTGAGTTTATAGAAGTATTTTAGTCCAAATCAGTGCATGATGCTGATAATACTAAACTTTACACAATATAAATAATTTTAACAGTAAAAACCGTTTAAATATTGCACGCACAAATTCCGTCCAAAGTACCAGTTTTGTTTACTTTTTTTTTTAATAGCCAATCTTATTATGCACTGTAAATTGTTTTTATTGTTTATTTCAGATTCCAGAACACAGTTTGGAATCCACACATTTTCCAGGTTTACATTGGTTCACTGTCCATATAGTTTCCATATAGCTTTGGCTAACATTGTATTATTTTAGGATACTATCATTTGTCTGTCTTTGTTTTGAGTGTGGTCGTTCAACCTTAAAAATAGGGCCTACTCAGAAAAAAAAAATGGTACCAAGCTGTATTTGGCATCATTAGAACCGGAATTTTGTGCTCTATAATATATCTAATATCTTTTCTGGGAAAATATTTTATATGCAGATTAGCTAAAGTATTTTTATTATTATTATTACATTCTTTCTTCCATCCACTAAAATACAAAACTAGTTTTGGGTATGAAATCATGAATCCTATCGAACTTGTAAAACATAAATGTCGTTTTATGGGAAGAATGTCTATTTTACTTTTAAAATTTCTAGAAAAAAATACTTTAGTAAAGAAAAGCCAGAGTGTAGAAAAGGAACGCTACAAGTAACGAGAAATATTTTTCGTCTTCGTAGCTCCGTAGGAATCACGGAAGACAATTTGGTCAAATAAAAAGAGTAAAAGGGGAAGTGATGGATTTTTATAGTCTGGGTTTTAGTTGAAACAACTCAAAAGAAGACTGGTCTTGTGAAAATTCATTCGCTTCTTACGTCTTTGTTGGATCACTTGACTGAATTCGTTTTGAAGAATCTAATCCTGGGTGAGTTTTATTAAGCAAAACGGTTGTAGCTCATTACAAAGCGTGAAATAATCACAGAAACTTTCTATTAATGAACCAGGCAGTAGAAACCAGACTTAAAAGCTATAAACATTATTTCGATGGTTGTAATGTGAATTCGAATGACCAAAGAAACTTAACTTCTCCACCAGTGTTCCATTTTTAAAACCAGAAACTTCCGCATCTTCTTTAATTGCAGTAAACTAAGCTGGTACTATGAAGAGGGTTATGTACTGGTTGAGGGTATGTTGAATATCCAATTGGTAAAGATAATAAATATCGTTATATTGACTACATATTTTGGTATTATTACCTGTAGTTTAGGCTCCCTAGTGGTACATAATGGCGAACAAACAATGTGCAGAAGAAAAACACTATGCTTGACTTAACCAAGTCGACAATGTCTGGTCAGTACATTTTCATAATCAAGTTATAAAAATCAATAAACATCTTCGTTTTCGGAATCCGCTCCCCCCGTTTGTACCAAATATTTAACACCCTGTGTGGAATAGCGTTAATCAGGTAACTTGGATATATAGATTTTTCCTCTAAAAGTAAATTTCGGATATGACAAAGTGGTCAAAATTTCGGTTCTAACGGTGCCAAAAATAGCTTGATAATTTTAACAGGTCTAAGCTTTTAACAACCATAGTATTTCTGTTTCCCAAAACTTCAGCACTAAGACAAGCAGATTCCTGATTCTATGTATTTAAATCCAAATATATAGACACACACACCACATTTGAACGCTTACAGGATTCTGCGACCAGCAATAATTATATTTAAAGGCGTTAGAGTAAAACCCACTAAGCTTTATATTTCGTTTTATGCGACAAAAGTTTCAAATTTAATACATCCTACACCTCAAGAGAAGGTTCACTGAACACACGATTTTGTTTGTTTGTCTGTAGCTAAGAACAAAGCTACACAATGGATTATGTGTGTTGAGCTACTGGAGGGGAGGCTTAAACACACGATTTTGTTTGTTTGTCTGTAGCTAAGAATAAAGCTACACAATGGATTATGTGTGTTGATCTACTGGAGGGGAGGCTTAAACACACGATTTTGTTTGTTTGTCTGTAGTTAAGAATAAAGCTACACAATGGGCTATGTGTGCTGAGCTACTGGAGGGGAGGCTCAAACATACGAGAGATGTAAACAACAACAAAGAATTGGAGGTGTGCGCCATTACAAAACATTCTGCGAACAAAAATGATCAACCCTCAAATCGAATACCACAAAAGCTTCACTTTGTTTTTAAACAGTGAGTACATAGGAAGTTCATCGTTCAACAAACCAAATCTAGAAATTAACTTGATTGCTAGGTGGCCTTTCACACGAATCTTCCATCTGTTAAGTACTAAGTTTCGTGTACGTTTTAAACATTTGTTATGATTCCAGTAAGTTGAATGATATATTTATTATTTGTAATTAATGTTTAATGTGATAAATTGCAAATTATAAATATTCTCATTTCTTACGTATTGAAATGTGTTAATTTTTTAATACTTGGAATGCTCTCTTGCGGTCTCTTCAGGCTTAACCCTTAGTATATATTTCTAATTTAAAACTTAACTAACTATCCATTAGAGTAATAAATGTGTACGTTTACCGTTTGTAATTATATTTAAAAGCACATTAACAAATAACTAACTTTTCATTTTAATGTGTCCTTTAAGAAATTAGTTGCTACAGAAAATATAGCATATAAATAAAAATTATATAAAAACCACATCTAACAAGAAAAGTTACATTTACAATATCTATACGATGACTCACAATCGTGTCATTTTATCTACACTCGCCTGTTGCTTGGTTTTCAATTACAAGTTTCAAAAATTCATATTCAACGAATGATTTTCTTACTAGCTTCAGTTCTATTTAATTATCTTCCTATATATAAACTACTTCTGTACTAGAATGATGATCTCAAACATTTCAAGCAGTTCTTACCAAGAATGCACTCTGGGTAAGAGATATCACATCTAGTACCACTCCGGGCTTTTAAATGTAGTCTTGTTTGTATCACCAAGAGACAGATACGTAGTAAAAATTGGGGTTTCAAATAGCT